AAATTTTAATTAATAATTAATAAAATCTATTATATTTCATCTATAATATTTTTAAAAAATAAATAATCAAACACCAAAATAATTGTCAATTACAGTTATAGTACAATATAGTTCAGTACAGTCACAGCCACAGTAGTCCCAAACACACCCTAAATTTGTTATCATTATTAAAATATTATAAATTATGATGTAATTAAATTATACAAAGTTGGGCTTTAATAAGTAATTTTATGATTATATTAAATATTAAGTGTTTTTCGTAAAAACTATAGTTAGAAAATTCCAAAATGAGACTTATATGTTTATGGCTTTATATATAAAACTGTTATAAATATGTTGTGACTTTCTACATTTTTAAAAAAAAGGTAATTTGCAAAAAAATTATGTAACAAACATATATCTAAAAATACTATACAATTACATGAAAAAACTCTCAATCGCAATCTAAGCCCTACAGTTAATACCTAGGTGATCACATGATATGGATTGAAATACTATTACATCTATTACAAGAAAATCAGAGAAGCATCAAATTAGATCACAAATGGCAAAAGGTGCAGATCACCCTCTAAACTCAACAACTAGTGGCAAATCACCCCCTTAACCCACTTCACGCGCAAATCAACCCTTCAACTCACCTGCAGTGGCATATCAACCCCTCTCTTAACCCTTCCGTTAACATTTAACAATCCGCTCATCAGCCCTTCCTCTGTGTCTGACGTGGCCTTCTTTTTGCTGAGATGGATGCTGAGGTGGAGGCACAGCTAGACAAATACCTCAAAATCAGCAGATTACGCAAATTACTTTTATACCCTTAAGTTGTTTAGGGAATAAAATTGGGGATTTGGGGATTTAGGGATTTAGGGATTTAGGGATCAGCTTTTATCATCTTTGTCTTCTTCCTTTCTTCGTCTTTGTTTAGCAAGATCTGCAATTCATCGAGCATGGGGTTCTTCGTCAAGCTTTGAATCTTCTGTCAAATTACCATATTTTGAGGATATCTAGGCTTTTATTTTTTTTGGCAGCTTCTATCATCTTCTTCCCCTCTTCGTCTTTTAAAAATTGAACCTTTTTTTAGCAAGATTTGCAATTCATCGAGCATGGGTTCTTTGTCAAACTCTAAATCTTTTGTGAAATTACCATATTTTGAGGATATTTAGGGTTTTATTTCATTTTCTAGCTTCTATCATCTTCTTCCCCTCTTCGTCCTTTCAAAAATTGAACTTTTTATTATCAAGCATGGCTTCTTGATTGATCCCGGACGCTGTTTTTGGTCTCTGTATTGTTTAGTTTCATTTGATAAGTTTGCATATGGAAGAAATTATTGTTTTATGATGGCTAATTTGCATTTGATTTAGTTGCATTTGTTGCTCAATTCGATCTAGATCTTTGTTAAGAAGACAAAAAGGGCTCATTTGTTGGTTTCAAGGGGTCTTTTGGGTTGCATTTCTCGAGAAGATCTGTTCTTTTTGTGATGTTAATTGGCATTATATTTTTGTATTGGATTTGGTAATTTTTTGGTGGATCTTGATGTTGATTTTGCCATGGTTAATTACTTGTTTATTGGGGGAAATGGGGATGGGAACTAGAGCTTTTAAATCAATTTGATGCACAGAAAAGAAGCAATTTTTTTAACACCAAATGATATGTAGAGTATTTTATCACATTGAATTTCTGATGGCTCAAGCCTCAGATCTGCTGTTTGTTTATATTTATGATTTCTGTTTTCTTTTGTTGGAGTTTTAGAGCTTATTTTGGGTTGTTGATTTGTCGGTGCTGTTGTATACTTTTTCATATTTATTAAGGTTGGTTGATGCACAAAATTACTGCCTCTTGCTTTAATTCTAAATAATTTCTGTATCTTCTTAATGTTGTAGAATTGCTTTTGCCAATAATTTTAGTATATTGGGCACACTAAAGAGCCTGCCGGGAACGCCCAGGGAGTTCCACTTTCGGGATTTGAAGATGGCAACGAACAACTTTGACCAAAAGCGGAAGCTAGGTCAGGGAGGATACGGGGTAGTCTATAGAGGGGTGCTGGAGAAGGAGAATTTGGAAATTGCCGTGAAGAAATTCTCGAGAGACATATGCAAGGCAAAGATGATTTCTTGGCAGAGCTGACCATCCCATTTTCCCATTTTCTTGTTTTTGTCTATAAATTGATTAAATTTTGTCCATAAACAAATGATTACTCAATTGCAATTATTTTGGGTTTGATTTAGATTAAGTTTTTCTCAACTGTATTTTCTAAGAGTTCACCAAGATAATAATTAGTATATTTTTTTATAATTAAATTACATAAAAAAATAAATTTAACTTTAATTTTAATAATTAATCAATTAAAATAATATATAATTGTAGAAAAATCCTCAGTTCAATTGGCTATTGTAGGATTTTAAAAATAATATACAATGTCTACACCTCAGCATCCATCTCAGCAATAAAAGTAATTTGTGTAATATGCTGATTTTGAGGTATTTGTCTAGCTGTGCCTCCACCTCAGCATCCATCTCAGCAAAAAGAAGGCCACGTCAGACAGAGGAAGGGCTGATGAGCAGACTGTTAAATGTTAACAGAAAGGTTAAGAGGGGCTAATTTGCCACTGCAGGTGAGTTGAGGGGTTGATTTGCTTATGAAATGGGTTGAGGGGGTGATTTGCCACCAGTTGTTAAGTTTAGGGGGTGATCTGCACCTTTTGCCATCACAAATCTAGATAGAAAACCATCTTACTATTTGTATAGAGTGTCAAAGATACGCCTTCTTATTGGATTGAGTTCATCTAGAGCCTTTTTAATACTTGAAAAAATGTGAGTCTCAATGGATTAAAGGGTTCAATCATTGTCACTCGAAATCAATTAATTGATGAAAGTTTTCTAATGACTGATTCTTGGCATACTTTCATAAATTGTATCATTAACTCGGGGTACACCAGCGAGAAATGTTGGTCTCAACTCCACTATCAACCCGCAACTCCTTCAAATCCTACAAAAAAATTAAGCACACGTCTTTTAGCATAACGAGCTCTAGATGGAAGAAACAAATAGCTGAAGCAGCATACCCCATGGTAGTAGCCAACGGATGCACCCTTACGGAAAAAATATTCTTCAACGACACCGTCAAGGATATGAGCAAGAGGCAGAAATGATAGAAACCGATCGTCCACTGTCATCTGAAAATTCACAAAAATGACATATCAGGTTAAAAAGAAGTGCTCAAAAGGGAATAAAAGGGTCTGAATAACAAAAATATGCAGACATCTCAATCAGGGCTACCATAGCATTTCATGACAAACTGGTATTAGAAACACAATAATATCATCATGCTGTTTGAATGACAGAAGACGTGTCGTATCATGTAGAAGAAGTTAATGGTAGGTTTGAGTATTAAATATACCTTTTCTTCAAATTGTTCCATAAAAAGATCTATCCCCCTTAAAACAATAGTGCAGATGTTGGATCTCCACTGTCGTACCATGTAGTTGCAACTGTTTCATGAGTTAAAACGATACCTGTTGGATCTCCACTGGTGCCACTTGTGTACATAATAGTGCAGATGTTGACTTGAAAGATTGCAGTGGAAAAATCTCCTGTGGATATTCCTTTCCCTGATGAACAACATACCCTGAAGGTTAATCTTAATAGAGAAGCATCTGGAAAATAAAAACTATTTAATTTGGCTGAAATTCGGAGGCTAAGTGTCTTGAGACAACCGTATTCATCAAGAGCCTTGCAAAAGACTTTAAAGCAACCAAAGTTCTTTAAAGCAACACAAGACCAATATTAGGATGGTGGAAGCATACATGAAAACACAGTTAGTAATCACTAAGAAAGAAAGAAATAAAATTCCATCATTGTTCATCGGGGTTGAATTGATAATCTTCCTATCTCTCCAATAATCAGTGAAAACTAACCATTTGGAGAAACTCAGTCCATGAGTATGGTTTAATCCCCTTTTGAGTTGCCATATCCTTCCCTTCCTCTCTCAAAACCGTGAAGCAAACTATAGCTGTAACCAGAACCAAGCTCAGTAGACAGCCTTTATGAAGTTTGAAATCTAAAACATATGTAGTCATTTTCACCTTTCAGTCGTTGAGCAGATGTACAAAATGTATTTAGAAGCTGCAAAAGCAAGAAGCAATAGAATAATGTTGCTTTTGAAATCGGAGTTCAGATGAAAAGCAAAATTAGTTAATCCCAGTGCAGTTCAATTTGTTGGTTTTGATACTCACTTCTTTCACTTTCTGGTCTTGTACAAATGCAAAATCAAGCTCCGCATGGTCTATAATAAAATTTACAGCCCCAGGGCCTGCTTCCAAATTTGAAACAGGAAGTGTGAACAATAATTTTCATTTGTCAGTTATTAGCATCTGCACAACAATGCAAAAAGTTGAACATTCTATAGTTTTCATTGTTGAATCACCCCTGCAACTATTATATTTTCCTTCAAAAAATAAAAATCCCTTCAACCATTTTCAATCATCATAATAATGAACCCTGTGTAAAACACAAAAGGTATGTCCGTGCAAGCTGTAGCAGGTTTGATAACCTTCATCCACAGAAGACGAATAAATTCGTTGGTCATTTGTATTTAATCAACCAAAAAAGGGCCTCAGTAACTTGGAGTTCGGGAAGGTGACCTCCTTCTAGAATTTAACATAAATGGTTGCCACTAACTTGAACTTGCACTCTTGTGTGTGTTAACCCCCGAAGTTTTGCAATGGCACTGTATATGGCCCATTGGAAGCTCAAATATCAAACATTGGATTAATAATAATAATAATAATAATAATAATAATAAAATAAAAAATTCTCCCAATACGAGATCAAAAATAATCATTTGGCCTCTTAACATGCTAAATTTGAACTTTACTTCTCTCAAATTATAATTTGGTAACTTTTAAGTTTTTAAATTGTAGTCAACCAAAAAATAAAAACCACTGAATTGCACAAGATTGAGAATATATTTTTTAAACAAGTGTAAATTTTGAAAATAAAATTTAAATTCAACACCTAAAATTAAAGTATATTTTTTATTAAAATTTATAATTAATTGATCTTTTATAACAAATGTACACAAAATTAAAAATTTGTGCTTAAATTAACAGGAAAAAAGGTCACATGCCCTCAGCAATTAGCCCCTCTGTCTACAAAGGCCACGTCACCCCCACAACTTAATCCACCGTGGCATGCCAAATTGCATCTTTCATCCAGATAACTCAAATATTTTTTCCCTCTTTCATTTTAAACGAAAACATAAATTAAATTTCCATCCCTCTTCGCACCCGCTGCAGTGACTGCAATGGTAGGTGCATCTTAGATTATAAATATTACCATAATTTAAATTCTTAATGTAATCTTTGTTCCCCTAATCTACTTTAAAGTGGTGAGTGGCGCGGCCATACCATAAAGCTATTACTTTCATATTTCTCATGTTAAAAAAAAAAAAAAA